ATGATAAAGCCTCTCCGTGAAGCTTATGAAAACTACGAGAGAATGCGTATTGAAGAAGAGGCTGTTAAAGCTGACGCGGCTGAATCCTCGCCCCCGGAAAGCGACTTTGAAGGTTTGAAAGGACAGGACATCAATGCAAATGGCACACAAGGACAGTGGAGTTCTAAAAAGCTGATGGGTGTATCCAAGGAGATCAGGGATATGTTTCACGACAAGAACAAGGAAAGTAAACCGGGAGATGAAGATACGCTGAGTCGGCCTATGATAAAAACCCAGGTACTTAATCAATACAGTTATGAGATTCAGGGAGAAGTTGAATAAGTGTAAGGTAACCTGAGACAGTCTTAGATTCTGGATTACACGCTGTTGATTCCGGATTCCAGGTACTTGATTCTGGATTCCTTGTCAATGGAACTCGCATTCCAGGTTCTTATCATTAGCGGAATTCCGGATTACTTGGGCTGAATTCCAAAGCCCATGATTCCAGATTTCACAAGCAAAAATTTCTCTGGTTTCGGAATCCGGCTAACTTTCCATGGGGAACATATAACGTATTTTTAGGTTTTTGGCCCGTGGTGATCTTTTTTAATGGTTTGTCTTGCGATACCTGAAAATGAACCTTGAGCACCTCGCCTAACTGCCCTCGTGCCTCAAAATCCTAATGACTGCTCTCGGCATAATAGGGTAAGAATCGACATAATCCTCACACTTTAGTTTACTCTTTAAAGAATACACTTAGATCGGCAAATTGAAAGACCGTTTAAGCCCATGTTTAATACAATAATTATTATTGTTTTCCTGATCGAATTTATATTCAGAACTATTTTGTCTGTTTACTAATTCAGAGCGAAAAAAACCTCTGCGAGTACCGTAATTACATTACTGGGACGCGCTCTCACTTCTTTGCCGCCTTTTTAGACGCGCTGCTGTTAAAAAAAAAATTAACTTTTACCATTACTTTGGATAGTGTGGATCAGTGGCATTGCCGTTTGTTTTTGGTTGATCACAATAAGAAAAGGCTAGTCCAAGCAGAGTTTCAAACTGTTTCTAAAATGGAAAAGAGAGAAATGAAGATTGCAAGGAAAATTGTGTTATAAATCAAATGCCCATCGTTTTATCGTTATTTTTTCATTGATTCTCTCGCTTTTTGTTTGCAGAGGAAGGCTGATGATGCTCCAACAAGTAGCGTTAAATAACCTAAAATGAAGATTAGCCGATACTGCAAAAATTAAAATGGCTAACGTCCTGGAAATGATGTGCTTTTATCCAGGTTAATTTGCCATTTAATCAATTGTACATAGGACGTTTTCCTAATCTTTTGTAAATATTAGAGCCCATATCACGATGTCTACCACTGTTGTACAATGACCTTTCTAAGCCTTAAATGTTCCTAAGACCGGAGCCTAATATGTTTGTCGTCTGTAGGAAACGACAGCCTCAGTATGTGTCCTAGATCTTAATAAGCTGTCCTCTTTTGTTATGTTTTTGCCGTTGCAGAAACCTTTGTTGCCGGTTAGCTTTTCTATTTAACTGTGGGTAATGTTCAGCGTCGTTTTTAACTTGTGTTCAGTCGACTATTCGTGATCTAAAAGACTTTGAACGTTGCCCAACTCTTAGGACATTTTATCTCTCCACGTCTTGAAACTAAAAGGGTAAAAATTCGTCTTTTCTCACAAAAAGCAATACCATCACTCTTCATTGGTTCAGTAAAGATTATTTTACCACCCGGTTTCTCCATGTAAAAACCTTTTTCTGCACACATATTTAATTATGCGAACGACAAAGTAATGATTTATTGCCTTGTTAAATAAGGAACCTTGTACTATAAAAGCTGAAAGCAGAATAAATTCTTCATCTTGCGATAATTTATTGACTATTTTTGTACTTAAACATGTAAGTCACGACTTTGCAGCAGGTTTAGCCTGGAGTTCAGCCGTCTCCTCGCGACGCAAACACCTGAGATAGAAGACGTCTCTGACGGAAGTTTTTCCACTCGAGGAGACGGCTGAAATTCAGGTTAAAGGCAATCGTGAGCCTTTTTGCCCAATCTAAGCCGTGGATTCCGGATTCCAGGTACTGGATTCCCGTCTTTGTCAGTGAAACTTGGATTCCGGATTCCGGATTCCGGATTCCGGATTCCAATCTTTAGTGGGATTCGGGATTTCGTTGAGCTGTATTCCGGATTTCAAAGCCCAGGATTCCGGATTCCACGAGCAAAATTTTCCCAGATTCCGGATTCCTCAAGCAAAAATTTCCCGGATTCAGGAAACCGAAATCTAGGGCATGGGGGTGAGCCTTTATTACACTAGCCTGAGTATCACGCCTTCCTAAGGGGGCTTGGGGAGAGGAGATTTTAGATGGGGGCGGGGGGCTTCCATCCTTCCCCTTTTCCCCCAGAAACGCCTGATACTCAGGCTATTATTACGCTAACAAAGAATTTCAACATTTTTTTAGATTATAATGAGCATAATCCTTAGCTTAGAAAAAGATGTGAACTGGACTGTCTGCTTGACATTTCGCTTCTTCTTTGCGTCTTCAATTATTTAAATAGACATGAAATTTAGAGTTCTGGAAACTAGCAGCGTAGTTTATCTGTAAGCAAGCAGTGGGCCCTCGATCTAGATTAAGAGCAGTCTCTCTCTTTCTTCAAGACAGACTGCTCATAGGATACCCTCGACCCATATTTCAGCAAGCGGTATAACGTATCTTCAGATGCAGGATTGCGATAGAAGAGTCGCGAACGAAGAGGCCGCATCCCTAGAGATATAGCTTGGAAGGCTCGTTGTCAACGTTTAATGACCCTGCATTTTCTTTGTCTCATCGCGAGAAAAAGTTCTTAATTGAATTCATGGGTCCATTTGTCTTCCGGTTCAACTGAAGTACTCTCAACTGTCTTACGGCGTCCTGAAAGACAATTTTTACATTGATATTATTAGCTGCTGATGTTTCGTGAAAGAAACACTCGTATTCCGATGCAAACTCCAAAGCCTCTTCATTGGACACTGATCTGGTGTGATTCAGATCCACCTTATTCCCGACAAGAACAATAGCTGTTTGTTGACCTTTTTGTTTCTTCAATTCTCGGATCAGTTTTATGAGCTGCTTTGCTGTTTGGAACGTCCTCGGCTCGTCGATGGCGTACACTACAATGAAACCCTCGTTTTGGCTCAAATACACCGGTTCATGCTAAAAAAAAAATAAAGAATTGCCCACATTAATTGGGAGTACTGTAAGTTAAGAAAAACCTCTTAGCTTGGGTACATGCATTAGCTATTGGGTACACCGCACGTACACAGCACACGTTTTTCTCGGCAAGTTTAGCCGGGGTGTACCAATCTGTTAAAGCAGTTATATTGCTTTGTAACCGTTTCGATATATTCTTGTACCCTTACACATGCTCATGTGACTACTTCTCTGTCTTTGAATGCTTGTCGACGGGATGGACCCTGGAGATTTGGAATTTTATAGCGGAAACACTGCTATGACCTGTGAACAGGCTCGATCTCCAGTGAGGGTACAAATGGTAATAGGATTATCACAAAACAAAATAAAAACAAAAAAAATTCCGCCGAACACCCGATCAATGAAAACAACATTTCACGAACAACCAATGAAAATCTCGGATTTTTTCCTTGTTACCAGCGTGTCTGCCGGAGAACATCCGCTGGTCAAGAGGTCTGGGGCTCTGCGAGGTGACGAGATCTTTATTTATTTAAATGATATTCGTTCATTATTATTAAGGAACAACAGTTGAATCCTTTCCGATTCATTGAAACGAAGTTTTCCACTTCCACACTTGCAGTGTTAAAAATTTACAAAAACTGCTTTGTAAATGTGTACGTATAAACAACAGTCCATGATCAAGTCTTCACTCACCGTGCTTGCTGTGTCGGTGATGTGTAATACCGCTGGCTCCTCGTCAACTTCGTAACACATATCATAGGTCAATTCTGCAACAATGACAAAAGTTTGGACTAAGTATGATGTGGAGGGAAAAAGGGGTTGGAGGGTTGGTGTGGGCAGTGATGAATCGAACCCAGCTCCAAAGGTTTTAACTAATTTTATTCCAAAGCTCCTGCTCTTGGAAAAAATTTCTTAGGATTTATATGTTTAAATAGTCAAATAAATAAATAAATGAATAATCCAACTGACAAGTCAAGTCAAACGCAAAAATTCCATCACTATAACGAATCTTAAGATCTAATATAAGGCTAAAACATTGAAGTATTGAAGTTATAATCTTTCTTAAATGTTCGTTCAAGAATAGGACGGAGAATATAGAGGCCGTGTAGACGATCAACTTTTTTTTTCTATTGCTTCCACACCTGGAAACTGTTACCGCGTTGAAATTTTGTACGGTGTCTCAAAATAGCTATTGGCCACGATAAGCTCTATCCCAAAAATAGCCACTGTCACAATATTTGTCAGTAATATTTATAGCACAGTAAAGATACAAATTACTTAAACACACGCGATGTTAATACCAGCTTGACACGAGATAAAATGGGATAGAAACAAAGAGACAAAAGAAAGTTCCATTGAAATTAAGGACAGCTGCCTGATCCTATGCGCATGCGTGCATAGACCTTATCTCTATTGTGTTTCCTATTGCCAGGCGTTATCGGTTTATTGTTATCCGTTTGACCAAAAGTTTTTCCCGCGGACTCGCCGGATATGGATCAAACCCACAAAAAGCGATAAGCCCCTCCCTCTACCCGCCCCCCTGCTAGCAAAGAAAAATAGATACAGAGACTTGTACAATCAAGTAAAAATACAACTTACCAAGTGTGGGATCGTACTCGTGAATAAATCTTCCTGTTGTAAATCGAACCAACAGCGCTGCAAACAAAAATGAAAAAGTGTAGAAGTTACAGTCGAACCTCTCTTAAAGACACTCTCTAATGAGTTGGTCGCATGAAAAATATAACATCACTAATTTGGAGATTTACAAAGTTGTAGACTTATTCTTTTCCGTAGCTATTGAATTTAAATGTGTGTGAATAACAAGTCACAGATTTGTTTCTAGAAATTGCATGCCTAAACCATAAGCTACAATAACTATAACCATACACCACGTCTTTAAAGCATGCGTAATATTTCAAATTGACTTAGATAACAGTGACCCATTGACATATTCTTGTCGATTGGTAAATATCTTTTTCAAGTGTTTTCCAAAATGCACAGGGCTACTCAGACACGTGCCTGTTGAAAACAAAGTCTCACAGCTGCTTAAAACGGCTGCATTCTCCCTTGTAACTACAAAGATACTTAGCTTACACGGCGTTTTATTCTCGCTTCTTACATTTGTTCGACTGATACAAGGAAATCTACGGCCAGCTATAAAAAGGAATTATTGTCGTTGTTATAAAAAGAAATGAATCGAAATTCTTCTTCAATTTCCTCTATACAGTGGCCCTCTGAGATAAGCCTCTGTTTGCCACAGTTTTAGCGCATGGTTGTGGTTCTGCCCTGCAATTCACAAGTTAAGAGGGACCATTATAACAAAAGTAGATGAATAGATAATTGCTTGATGATAGTCCTTATAAAAACGCTATGGATATATGCCCTGCAGCCAGGAAGGATCTGAAAAAACTAAATGCCCGGCAGTCAGAAAATTTCCTAGACTGCAAAATCCCTGTATCCTATCTTCGTTTAGAATTACCAAGCAAGCAGAAAAACAGGAATGGCTTCGCTGCTGAGTGCTTGTAGTTTCTTGGGCCATAGAGTAGAGTCTTGGTCGTTTCGACGCTTAAAAAATTTCGTGAGTAGCAGCGCGCGTGACTCACCGGCACGTTTTCACACAGGCTATTAAATAATCTCGGCAGTCTGCTTTAACATGTTAAACCGTTTATTTAACCCTTTACACCCGCTTGGCTACTCTGAAGGTAGGTGAAATACTTTTTGTTGAAATTCCCCTGATAATTCGGACTGCCGGGCATTAAGGCTGAGGATAAACCGTGCCCGGAAGTCTGGCACTGCTTCTCACGAAATTTTTCTAGCATCGAAAAAACGTCGACTGCACTCTTTGCCCAAGAAACCACAACCATCCAGCTGCGAAGGCCAATCTTGTTTTCCTGATCGCTTGGTAATTAAAAAATGAAGATAGAATATTCTCGAACGATTAGAAAAAGGGATTTTGCAGAGATTCTAAAAAAATTTCCGACTGCCGGGCACTTAGTTTTTTTAAAACCCTTGCCGGCAGCTGGGCATATAGCCACAGCCCACGATTATTGGTTCAGTTGCAAAGACTTAAGTTAAATGCAGATTCAAAGTTTAGAATTGTGGACAGACTTATCCTTTTTTTCCAGTAGACGTTAACTCATTGAACACCTCGTAAAATTCAGAGGAGTCACTCGTAGCAAAGGACGATATGACGGGTTGGCAATATATACTTGATGTCGGAAAAAAAAGAAACAAATTACTCCTTAACGTAAACAAATATCGATATTGAGTTTCAGTTATGAAAAGATCTCAAAAAGAAGCCGAAAAATATTTACTAAAGCGATTAGGAAATGCTTTGTTAAGAGTTCCTGTTATGAAAATCATTCATTTTTATCCGACAGAATCTTTTTTGAAGAAATTGGTTAGGATTCATCGTAAAGTGTTATTGTGTCCTATAACTTAGCGCACCGCTCTACGACAACAATCACCCGTTAAGTATTTGCATAGTGTTATACATGTATACAAGTTTTGTTGTTTTAACAGTTTCCTCTCCAAAGCACGCATTTTCAACACTTTTCTTTAATATTGAAAAATAGCACAGCTGGATCGTGTATTAAAATGCCCCTTTCCTCGCGCAGAGTATCATTCACACAAGTCACGCTAACGATGATGGCTACTCATTAAAGTTACCGTCACTTAGAGAGGGCTATCATCATTTCAATTTTCCCATTTATTATAAACCAGTCCAGTTGTACGATGTAACCATTTTTGTGGCCTCGTTGCAATAAAGTCGAGTTATGCTCTTTATCTAATTAATCTATTAATCCTGACCTTCCAAATACAGCCATTTCTATCACGCTTCTCAGTTTGTTGTTTTAGTATCAAACTTCTGACGGGAGAAGTTTAGAAAATTAGTGCATTTATTATGATTTCAAAGATCATCTACGCTTATTGAACTAACCTGATTTTCCAACACCTCCTTGACCTAACAGTACAATATTGTAATCCCTAAAAGAACTGCTGCGTCTTTGTAGCGAAGTAGAGGCGTTCTTTGTATTTGACACTGGATTCGATGCCTGTCCAATAAAAGGTTCACTGCAGCTGTCTCTTCGTTTTGGACGATTTTTCGCCGGTTTTTTGTTTAAGATGGGTGATCCTGGAGAGACAGGACTTGGGCATTTGGGCGAAGGACTGTCATAGTCAAAAGATTGGTTCAAATCGTTCGCTGAAATCAGAGATAGAGGCGGGGGTGGGCTACATCCTCGCTCATAATCTTTTCTGCCTCCGCGTTTCGTTTTCGACAGTTTTGGCTGCCCATCTGGAGGTGGGATGATGCGATCTGTTTTTAGAAGAATGCCTCTTGTCTCGGAGAAGTGTTGTTGAAGGACAACGGCCGGTGCTGAGCCCCTTCGCCGAAGCATTTCCTTAACTTGACGTTATCCACCAAAATCCGAAATGCAGAGCAAAGCGTTTCTGTGGGTTAAGTTGAGTTTAAGCTTGGCAAACGCTTCTCAAACTCCTGCATGAACCATCCACCTCGCGAAAAATGAGCTTGGCAAAATTCAAGTGAATTTGCTACGAAAAAAAATAACGTGAAACCAATTGTCGATCTATCGAAGGTTGACTGCGTCTCAATGCTGACTTTTTCTCTTGTCTCATCCAAATAACCTCGCGAAAAGATCAGCTGAAAGATAACTAATTGACTTATAAATCAATGGAGTGGAAAACCCTTTTGCCTTGCGGCACGGTCGATTACAGGTTACTGACCCTTCTCTTTATAGGAAAGCCGCCTGCGATCAATCTTAACAAAATCCGATAAATGAAGGCAAAATGGTACAAGTTTCAATTTTAAGCTTAGAGGTTTCACTGTGTGCAGCAGGAACCAACGAAGCATTCTAAGACTGGGCGTTTTTCGAGAACAGATTCACATCCGACATTATGACGTTTCGTGAAAGACGAGATACTACTCACTAACAACTATTTCGTGCAAAGTGTGAGTCACTTTCATGAAAGATTTGTAACTAATTACCGTCGAGAGAACATGTTAGCAGTCTAAAAACTGTAAAATATGAACTGACGACAGGCAACCGATTGGGGATATTTAGGATTACGGGAGAGGGTTCTCTGGGATCTCTCTTCGCCGGGAAATTCTTGAAGGTGATTTTAAACAGGGCAGCTGCGATCCAACGGCCTGAAAACCTTCTAGACATAAAACTCGAAAAGGGTGTATAATCCGGGCGGAAATTGGCAAAGATAAGGGACAAAAATAAGCTCCACATGGAAGGTGGAAATTTCTGCCCCAAAATTTTTCCTTGAAAATTAAGATATCTCAGTGTAGTAAGCCAAATCGCTTTGGCCTTCTGCTTGTATGTCCCGTATTTATTACAAACCCGGTCTCTGGTCAACCAACCCCATCAGAGGGTAAAGCCCCGGAGAAGCTGGTCAACCCGACTTTAACCTAGGCTCGATAACCAGCGTTCAGGAAAATGAGCCCGCACTAGTCCCCCGAAAGAGCGAGGACTCGGGAGAGAGGCAGAAATCGAGCCGACGTTTTCCCTTTCCCTAAAGCCACCATTCCAGGCTCCAAGATGATAGTTCCGTGCAGTCGTGCCGTGAAAAGTACAGCGAAAAACGCGCGGGAGCTGAGGAGTGGGAGGGCGGTCTCTCTCCTATTTTTCCCGCCACAGTCCTTCCCCAGATCACACGCGTCTTACTTTCGCTACGCCCCTACTACCTGAGAGCCTGGCATAAGCTATTTTTCCATAGCCCAGCCAGCCTATTATCAAAATTCAACCATGGCTCCACCCCGTGTGAAAACACAAGATGCACAAGGACCAGGTTGGAGACTCGTATGTTATGAAGGATCTTTTTATTTCCCCAACAAAGCGAGAAGGAAAGTGGGAGATATCAGTTTACAAGCAAACCACTCTCGTAAAAGTGCAAGTTGTTTTATTTTATTTTTACAACCTATGAAATGATAACATGCACAGCATTGCGTTGCGTGATAAGCTGACGCAGCTGTCACGTTACGTTTTAACGACTGAGCAAAATTATGCCTAAAAACATTTTTACTCTAATTCCTCTTGGAGGATCCTCTCTAAGGTTTAGAATACAAATAGCATGCTTCACGGTTCTCATGAGTAACACGAAAACGGACTAGTACTCTTACCAAATACAAGTCTTCCAGGTAATGTGTAAACGAAACATATCGTGCGTGTACGAGAAACCCTGTTTTACACCTCAAAGGCACCAATTATCAGAAATAAACTCCACTCAATGGAAGAGCAAGGCAACTTAGGCCCCTCTTTTTTTAAAGTTTTTTCAAGTCTTCGTTTTAGAAACATGAACAAAATTGAGAACTGGAGTACAAAAAACCTCATTCAAAAATCTCGGCAATATTACTTCCTTTCATATAATCGTTAATCTGTCCTAATTACCTTGATTGCAGCTGCACAAACAATTCAAAAGAACCTTAACCTTGAAACGAAACATGGGCCAGTTATCAGAAGAATGAATAAATTGGCCGCCATTCTTGAATAAGGTGTATTATGCTACTTCACAGACATCGGAGCACTGGTAACCAGACAGCCAGGCATCGACTGAGGAGCCAGCCACTAACGAGAGTACCGCTGACACTAACACCGTAAACACCTAATATATTTGGAAGCACATTTCATGTAGTGTGCCGCAAGCAAAACCAGTCTGATGCAAGTGGAATACTTAGCAAGCACTCTTTTCTTTGTTTGTTTTGTGGCCAGAATCTCGTTGGATTGTTTGAGAGACAATAAACAGCCCAAAAAAGTTATTAGGTGTTCAACGTTTTCATGGTTTTAAGTCGCGTTAGTTTTACTCGATTTAACCTTTAAAAAGCATACAACCCTTAAACTTATGATATCTACAAACCTTTTGTAATGACAAGTTGAATTACCTGATTGCGTACGTTTTAATCTACACTGTGAAATGCCGAATTGCTTTTTACGAACATCAGTTAACTAAAATTGTTAAAAAAAGACTACTCTACGATCTTCAGCACGCAATTCTTACGAAAGGAGACAATTACAAAAGCAATTTATATATTTTATCAACGGCTCAAAATTCACGTGCCGTCTGCATGGAAGTCAATTTCAACTTCAGGTAGTGATCATCCAAACGTTTTTTCTTTCAACTTTTCTATAGATTCCTTAACCTGACATAAACATGCATAAGGGCGATGGTTATAAAAAAGGTTCAGGGCGTAAGGCACAAGATAACAGTGATCTTAAGCAAGGACGTTTTTAAGCGACGCACGTCAACTTGAAAGCAGACTTCTTGCATTCTTAGGCAATGATTTTGCCCAAATTTTCGGGAAAATTGTCGCTATAAGAGTTGACACACTTAGTAATACAAATCTGGTAGCCTCAAGGAATATTATAAGAGAAACAAAGCTCACCTCCGGTTGACGTGCGTGGCTCAAAAAGCTTTTGCTTAACCTCCCTAATGCTCTTTACAGAGGCTATGTTCAAACTATCCGGGATGGTATGAATAGCAACGGCCCAGAGCTAGAACAGGTCGTTCACACACATCGAATATCGTCCTGGAGCGCTTGGCCGAAAGGATTTGGTAAACTAAATCCCAGACTTCACTCTTGAATAAATCCTGAACATTTACTTCTGTCTTTACTTCTCGCTCCTACCAATTCGCTTCCGCTAGATCCGACCAAAGTGTGGCACAGAATTTATCCGATATGTGACACTCTTCTTCTCGAGATCGGCACTGCGCAGCTTCGCTCCTTTACAGAAATCGCGCCGCCACAACCGTCCTTACGTGTGAACCAAAGCCCCGTAAGGTATGGTTTCCGTGTTGGCAAAAAAGCCCATCCACTACGGCGTTAACATAGCCTCAGCCGCAAATTGTGATACGTTGACCCTTCAAACCCTAAGATCAAAATTTGAATTCTCTTTTGTTGCTCCTATTCATTTCCTACAGAAGCAGTGGGGAGAAGTTGATAAAACGAACGAATTCATGTTGTGTGATCATGTCCTTAATTCTCATGACCGCTCTGTTTTACAATGCATTGATATTACAAGGAGAAATTTGATGCTGATCACTCTTAGGGCTTAAAGGGTTAAAATAGAGCAAAACAGTCAATCCAAAACAAAACAATCAAATAAACAAAAACAAGAAGAAAACTTCACTTAAATCTAAACAGAATTGTAGTAATACGAAATGAGTCTAATTAGATTACAAAAATGTAATTACTATACTCGCTACAAAACTATGCAGAACCGAACGAAATTTGCGGCAAGATCTGGATTTAAGCCGTGACAAGTGGTTCATCGTCGGAGAAGCCCTGGATCAAGGGAACCTCGTCATCTTCTAAGAAAAAACAAAAACAAAAACACTCATATATACGCTTATTAGGCTGCTATACAAAGCGCTTGACAACTGGTTCTTGTAACAAAAGCCCTAACACGATACGACCCTGCGTTTTCATGATACCCAGTCCTGCGCCCCTAACCCCAAAACGTCCCAATTGCATGGCCCATTCAAAATTCTAGATCTGTAATATTGAAGCGGAATTCCCTTGTCCTGTTCTCTATACAAAGGGACGGGCCATTAGAGACCTTAAGGGGGTTGGCTGGGGGGTGGAGGGGATGAGCCAAGTACAAAAAAAATATTTGTGCAAGAGAAAATCTTGTGAAAAAAAATCATGCATGCCAAGTAGACCTAAAAAAGATTCCTACACCAGCCTAAAAAAAAATCATGCCAGGGAAATATTAACGACAACAAAAAAAATACATGCGGCTCCAATATTCCCCATCCACCCAAAACAACTTTTCTAATGGTCCCACCGTCCCTAAAACGAACTGCATAAACTGTGAACGGATGATTAAACACTTCATTATATAGCTGTTAGTTAATCCGATATTGTCAGCAAAGCTTTTATCCTTTAATTTTTACGAACTATCCAATTAAGGATTAATTTGGATAGTTTCAGATAGGACTTTCTTTTACAAATGGGCAAACTGTCCAATTTAAGAAAAAAAAGGACAGCTGGTCTGAGCCAATCAAACGCCAGAAAATACAACAGGCAATGAAAAATAGCCAATCAGCGCAAAGTCCCTGCGACAACGCGCCAAGAAAGTCTCCTTAGCTGACGGCGGAAACTTTGGACAAGAATAAGAAAACACTGATAGTTGTGTTTAGATGTTGGCATTACAAAACAAACGGACAAAGTCTGCGGAAATCGTTTGAGGTCATGAATGAAATGCTTTATAAAATGTACACTTAAATACAAAATGCCAAAGTAGGAAAGAGCAATAAGCTTACTGGTTCTACGTTTGTTTATTTGTAAAGAATAAGTTAAATGACCTATAAGAATAAACCTTTTTTAGATCTTGCAGTGTGTTTTTGTTTCAACTAAAAACGGACGGGTTCAAGT